CCAGCCAAAATGTGTCTCAGGTTCTACTTGTTCTGCCTTCAGGTCGTGGGAGAGCCCAGTATATGTCCTCCAACCACAACAGAGGGTCAACTTATGTGGGTGTTTGTGGAGCTAATTTTCTGATTTGGTCCAGTGCAAGCGCGCTCCATGAAGATTGTGGTTCTAGTATGAGTTTTTGGATCCATTTCAGGCTGAGCGCTGTTGTCTGCGTGGTCGGGTCGATGATGCCTAGCCCTCCTTGGGCTTTGGGCTGAATGACAGAGTCCCATGCTATTCGGCTGATTGCTGCTGGGGATTCGTGGTCTCCTCTCCATAGGAAGACAGCCACCTGCCTTCGTAGTGTTTTTTGTGCTTCTTTGCTCAGGGGCCATATTATTGATTTGTACCAAAGTGCGGCTAACACCACATTGTTTATTAATAAGGCTCGACCAAATAACGACGTGTGCTTCCCTTTCCATGCCCCCATTTATGAAGGGTCGGTCCTGTGATCCATTCGTTATTTGAGCGTGGGCGGCCTTCTGCTGTCATTTGGACCTCTAGGACTCTGACAAGCGTGTCCTTGTCCAGCCAGTTGATTTTAGGCTCCTCCGATGGCCTCCCTCCCTGAGAGTGTATCCACCATCCTTGAGTTTTACTTCCCCAGTTCACGGCCATGTCAGATACCTGGCAGAATTTGTTTATTAGCCCGTGGATTTCCTCCAAGTTCTCCCACGTAGCTGCTACCATTATTGTCAGGTCGTCCGCAAAGAGAGAGCAGATTCCAAAACAAAATATGGAAACAGGACTAACAAGACTACAAACACTGTCAAACAACACAAAATGGAAGAAGGAAAAATTCAAGAAAAGCAGACCACTCATAAACTGCCTCACCTTTATTTAAAAAACAAAGAACTGGGCTAGAAAAAGAGACAAATAGTGATAAAGGGAACGAGTTGATTTTTCATTTCCCTGTGTTCATTTGTTTTTAAGGTTTAATTTGCAAAATACCCCCATAAGTGGAAATATATGCCAAAATGCCCCTGAAAGATGTGGGTAGAGCAGAATGCCGTTTTGGGACGAAATCTTTGTAGTGTGCCCCTGTCAGGTGGGTGTGCAACTTTGCAATCTGGACCTCCCCATTTGGGCCTTGGCCTTTTGCAATAGCGCCTAGGAAAAGCTGACAAGTACTGGGGCATTCTGAAAAGTTGGATGGTACCCGGTATGGGTATATTGCAAAGATGGGGTTCCATTCGAGCCAGAGGTATTTCACAAAGTACAAAGTATTTTTTTTGTCAAACGGGCATTCCCCTCTACCCACATCTTTTTTTTTATTGGCCCATGTCATCCTTCCATTGGGGCCCTGATAATCTTCTGTGTATCAGTCAAATAGTACTCTACCCACATCTTTTTTTTTATTGGACCATGCCATCCTTCCATTGGGGCCCTGATAATCTTCTGTGTATAAGTCAAATAGTAATGAGATTCCACAACGGCCTGTGGAGTAATGGAAGTCTCCAAAGTTCACTTGCGTTTAAACCACCAGTACCTCGCCCAGCTTGAAAAAGCCGACGCGGCCGTTAACACGCCTTGTCGGGCAGGGTACCCACCGGTATTCCCAAAAAAACGGGCCAAAAAAAAAAGAAAAAAAAGTCAGCGAGAATGAAAAGTAACGAACGAAAAAAAAGACAGGCGTGCCAGAGGGGGGGGAGAGAGGGAAGCACGCGCGCGCGAGAGAGAGAGAGAGAGGGGCGTCAGAGAGTGTCTGACCCCGAGTTCGGTGCACCAAATTTGGCGTCAGACACTATCTGATGCCCTCTCTCTCTCTCTCTCTCTATCTCTCTATCTATCTATCTATCTATCTATCTATCTGTCTATCTATATCTATCTATCTATCTATCAATCTATCTATCTATCTACACGTCCATATGAGAATGAATCTTCCTCTCTCTCTCTCTCTCTCTCTCTCTCTCTCTCTCTCTCTCTCTCTCTCTCTCTCTCTCTCTCTCTCTCTCT